GTGTGTGGGTGTGTGTGTGTGTGTGTGTGTGTGTGTGTGTGTGTGTGTGTGTGTGTGAGTGTGTGTGTGAAAGAGAGAGAGATAGAGAGGTTGAGAGAGAGAATCTGTTAAAATTGTTTATTTATTCTGTTTATTGTTCATCCCATTCCTTCTCAGGAGTTTTAGGTGAGTATAAACCGGCCATGTCTATGTATTTCACAGCGCTTTTCGGATTTTCCACAGAAGCGCCCGGGTCTATTTATCCAAGCGCACCTTGGAATGCAACCGGACACACGGACCCCAGATGGGAAACCCCCCCCTGCCACCCTTGTGTTTTTTGTAAAAACACAAAAACATTCCTCAGGACTTCATTTATGGTTTTGTCATCCTCGGACATGGTCAAACATCTGAACAAACATCATATTTCTTCCCCCGGAACTCAAAGGTCACATCTGGATATCTAACAGGTCACGGGGTCAACACAACGTGGCTGGTCGTGATGAGGGTGGTCATGATGCGGGTGGTCGCAATGTGGGTGGTCGCAGTGTGGGTGGGCTGCGTGGGGGAGGGGAAAGGTCAAAAGGTCAAAGCCATCAATCAAGGGTCATAAATATTTTTTGTCCTAAGGTGAATGGTACTTACTACTAATGACTAGGGGTTGCACCGACTAACCGACTAGTCGACTACAATGCTCTGCCATGACGCTTTAAGCTTGATGTCGACAAGTCGCTGGTCCAATAGAGGGCGCAACAGGATAAGAAATCTTTGAAGGACTTCCACATTTACGCTCCATTTCCAAACAGTTCAAATGACAAATAAATGCATACTCTGAAAGCGCTCCACAAGACATGTGATTATATTACTGGATGCTCGAAATTGAACCAGAGAATGCACGTTTTAAGCAGCTTATTGTACAGGTACGTTAATCGCCATTCTAATCTAATGCGCTGCTGCACTGTAACGCACACACATAGGCTACAGACAGTAGCACGTACATCGCACGCACATAATCATTCAGCGCAGAAATGTATTGTCAACACTGTTCTGTGATTCTCAATAAAATAGCTTAGAAACTTAAAAGTTCAAGCATATTTTTCTTAATAACTAAATTCCACAGCTTCACTACTAGTAGAGAGAGACGCTGCCAGGTATAATTAATTCACACACGCAATCGCTCTCACTATTGCATTCATATGAATGTAATCTTTACTGTGCTTCTTTATCTGTATCTGATTTAGAATGAGCAGAAATCTGTGAGAAATATAACGACCCAAAGACAAAAGAACTGATAAAAAAGCTGTTATAGGAGCAACAGCCATGTGGGCAGCGCTGTATCATATGCCATAGCTGTGACAAGGTGTTTGTCACAGCTCCAGACTTATTTGTTCATTAATGACGTCATCAGCGACTAGTCGACTTCGACTCGACTTTTATCACATAAAAGTCGACTTCAAAAAATCAGAAGTCGTTCAACCCCTACTAATGACATATAAATCTTTTCAAAATCTATTTTAACACGTGCCAATTTGTCAAAAGTAAAAAGAACATATTTTACTAAACCACTGAATACATGTGAGGGTACACATCCTAATCTTTACATTAAAAAATATATCTTTGTTGTTGTTTTTCAAAATGTATTTGTTTTCCAAGATAAAAATATTTTAACAAATATAATAAAATTATGAATATATAAATACCATTAGGTTTGGGGGATTTGTACCACATGACATTGTACAACCATAACTGACCTAGTCCTGTCATAAAAAATGTCAAATTGCATGGCATTAATTAATTTTACTTACTGATATTAAAATATGTTATCTTGATTTATGTTCCAATTTCCTGTTTAATTTCTGAATCTTTCTGCATTTTAGTGACTTTGTTGGTCACACCAAATGACAAAAAAATAAATTAAAAAAAAGTACAATTGTTGCATTCTTAATGTATTTTTTTATTAAATAAATACTATATTAGGACCAAAATGTGTCTCATCATTGATCCCTAAATCAAGTTTTAAGGCATCTGATAGAATCTTCAATTAACGTAATTAACATATTTGCGTTTTCTTGCAGATGACCCAGGAACAGTGCCCTCATAGAAACAATGTCCAAAGTACTGAAAAGCCACAAGTTTATAAAGTGGGGATATACGGTTGGCGGAAACGTTGCCTTTACTTCCTTGTACTACTCCTCATGATCCTCATAGTGGTCAACCTTGCTCTCACCATCTGGATCCTCAAAGTTATGAACTTCACTATAGTAAGTGCAATCTTTTACTCTGGCCTTCATTACCACCTGCCGGGCATCGATTGTTTGACCGACTTACAAGTGAGCAGAAATAACAGGTCTCCATCGTAGTGATCTGCCAATTCTCTCTGTGCATTTTCTGAACTTCAGCCAGGCAAAATACTGTTTTCATTTGCCTCTCAGGGTTTCACACATAGCTTCAGGTTTCTGAGACCAGCTACCTTCCCTTTCTCCACTTGTTTACTGATTTTTTTTTTTTTTTTTTCGTACTGTCCTTTGGGTTGTTGTTTTTTTTTTTTTTTTTTTTTTTTCGTACTGTCCTTTGGGTCTTGATTAATTGGATGTACAGCAGGGCCAGATCAAAGGAGGGGCCATGGGGCAGAAATGTCACAGGCCCCCAAACCCACCCAGTGACGCAATGCCCTCTATAAACCTATTCTCAAAACTTTCATGTAACATTTGTATGGTGATTTAGTATTTTGTATGATCTACATTCTTACATGATTGGTACTGGGGGATGCACTCAATGCGGAGGAACTGTGTGGAAATCTGTTGCTGTCTGTTCATATTTGCTAATAAGAAACTTTTAGAATGAAAGAAAAAAAAAACAGCAAAAGACTTGTGAATATATAATGTTATTTTTGTATTTGGAATGTATGTAAATTAACTGAACTGAAATGTGGAGTGTGTGTATATGAGGACGTTTGACAGGTCAGACAGGCCACAGTGGTCTGTGATATTATGTCCCAAAACTTCCCTACGCTTCTGATACACACTCAAAGTAAGTAAACAAATACTGAAAGAGTTGTCAGCAGCTTTGTGAGGGTAACGTTGAAGTCACCTAACTGTGGTGTAGTACATTTTTAGCCTACATTTTGCTTTTTACTTCTTGTAATTGTATTTTGGCTTCAAAATTCATAAATGTGATCATTTGTGAAGATTATCATGATGAACCAAACATGTTAGAAACAAGAAGCTTTTGTTGGTCACAGAGCTTATTTTAATGATAATCCAAAAGCAAGGACCCTTGTTATTTTGTTGTTGTCGCCATTTTCTCCATGCATTAAATCTGTAAACATGCAGAGGGTCTACATTTATTGCTGTAGTAATCTTCAGCACCTGTGATGAGTCATGGGCTGCATTTACACTGGCACAACAAATCCAATTTTTTACTCACATCTGACACAGATCGGATACATTGTTGCACACATGTAAACACAAAAATCCGCACGAGATCCGATTTTCTCGCATCCAATCTGAGCCACTTCCAAATGTGGATTTTAATCAAATACATATCCGATATCTGGACATCTAGGTTTGTCAACTTCAGAAAATAAAAAAAAGGGACAACTGTGATTCTTTATAGGAAAATAAAGTACAGAATAAGGGATGCTCAAAATATTTGTTCTGTACCACATAGAGTATGTTATTTCTGTGTCTACAGTTAAGTATGTGTATAAAAGGTATATAAAAGGATTTTAGAAATAATCACATTTGTTTTGCTTAACCTATGTACAATTATTCTAAAAATAAAGTTTAATGTCATAAAAAATATGTCACGCATGTTATACACAAAGCATCGGCCTGAGTAAATAGAATTGTGACTGCACAAGTGGTGTAGTAATTTAGGAGGTGAATCATGGGCGGCGCTAGGGAGGGGCTAGCAGGTGCTCCAGCAGCCCCAAGCAAGACCAAAGCACCCCCGTACATAAAAAAGATGAAATAAAATAAAAAACATTTGACTCATTACAAATGTGTAACTCGTGCAATGCAATAGGCTACGTCGTGACATGATTTGCAGTCACACATTTTGTAATGTCATAGCATTTTATTTTAAAAATGGATCGGTTCCTTGTGCCATGTAGGCCTGCCTCTGACTAAATATTTTTCTAGGCAACTAGTCGCACGTTTATATTAAGTTGATTAATATAATAATCTACTAAACCATCCTTTAATAGGCAGTTAGGCGTATTATAGCCTATTCCGTGCTCAAGCGCGTGCATAAAGCTTGCCACAAAGCATCGGCCAAAGTAATGATTAGTAATGATGTGTCAGAGAAAAAGAAGATATTTTAATTATTTATTACTAAAGTAGTGCTTTCTCAGTCAGTGTCAGATGCAAAGATGAAGTTGCCGAATGCCAGTGGTGTATAAAGTACCTGAAAGCCATACTCAAGTAAAAGTAAAGATATCTTACCAGAAAATGACTTTGGTAGAAGTTGAAGTCACCGTTTAGAATATTACTTGAGTAAAAGTCTTAAAGTATGTGATATTTATTGTACTTAAGTATGAAAAGTTTTTTTTTCATCTTAAAGGTACTTAAGTATTGAAAGTAAAAGTACAAGTAAATGCAAAATGGAAACGAAAAGAAATAAATAAATGTTCATATACACAGCTTGAGTAGCAAGATTGTGTTCAGTTTTAACTCTTTCTTCCATTTTGTATTTTTGGGTAAGAATAAGAAGCACTTCATCCGGTAGTGTCTTTCATTCCAACATAAGAAAACATTTCTGGAATCTGCAACTGAAATGGCATTAAGATGTATTTACACAGTTTATGTATCTCAGAGGGGACATGGATGCATTTAAACTGCAGTTACAGATACATGAATAGGCCTAATGTTTTGTTTTTAACATAAAACTTTGAATACTGATATTTGAAACAATTTAAAACATGAAAAAAAGTCGAAATGTGAAATTAAAACTGCCAGTAGGTGACAGCAAGTGACTGTTAATCAGTGAGTCACTGAGATTTAACCAATTAATTTAAACAACTGATTCATTCAGAAACAAAGCATTTGACTGTTAATGAGTGAATCACTGAATCATTTATTCAACCGATTCTTTCAAAAAGCTGATTCATTCAATAAGTAAACACCGTCCATTGCTCAGAGATGCAAAACAGTGCTGTGATCTTTGTTTGGAACTATTTTCGTTGGCAAAATTGAGCAAAAACAAGCAATAAGTATGTCTAAAATGTAAGTCACTTATTGCTTTACTGAACTTGTATAAAATGATTAATAAATGTGTTCATGCTGATATCTGCAGAAAAATGGTACTCTTTGTGTGATACAGATTAAGTTAACTATATTAAATTATATAAATATAAAAAGCATACAGATGCATTTTTTGCCATCTATAATTTAGAATGCCTAGCTGAAATTTTGAGTTTTAATAGACTAATAAATCAATGTGCATGCACTCTCTGTGTGATTTGGTGATATAGCCTACTTGATCATTTCAGATTGCACATCATTACAACAACACTTACCGTATTATCACAGACGATGCTGTATCGCACACCCCAGACTCGACTTGAATGGAAAATGAATCATCCGCGGTTGTGCACGCACTTGTTTGCACATGAGCAAAGGTGTTTTTAGGAGTCTAAATTTCAAACGCCAGACCACTGATTCGTCAAACCTGCTTTCCTGCAGTCCGTGTTCTTCTGACTTCTGACTATTTTGTAGTAAGTAATGAATATGCTTCGGGGAGATGTATCAGAGTAAAAGTATACATTTTAATTAGGAAATGTAGTGGAGTAAAACTAAAAGTTGGCTGAAATATAAAAACTCAAGTAAAGTACAGATACTCCCAAAAAATACTTAAGTACTGTAAGGAAGCATTATTACTTCGTTACGTTACACCACTGCCGCATGCTGACGCTGCTGGCCCATCTCCACAGTAGGCCTAATGGACGTGCCTTCAATAGAGAAATGCACATTTTCATACAGACTACATAATTACAAAAGATTTGTTTTTTTATTTGAATTGGTTCGTTTAATAGAAGACATTTAAAGCTTTCTATTGCCTAGATTTATTTCTCATGTCTGTGAGCCAGTTCATTGTTGTGACGCGCACCATTCACAGAGACTGCATGCAGAAAGCACATCCAAAAATGTTAAGTTCTTTCCGCAGGAAAAAAAAAATGCAAGGGATTGTGCGGGTGCCTCCATATCATAGCCCACATTAAGCGCGATAATACTCCCACACTCCTCATGAACACCTGAAATGCGCCTTTATAGAGTTTTTATTATAAATATATATAAGCTCACTTCTGAGCATCTGAGTCCCTCTCATTTGAGAGTCGAATTCTTCACTCTGTGGGCTTCGCTGGGTAGCACATCAGGACTCTGCCTTCCTCTTAGGCTGCTCTCTTGGTGAGCTCAGCAGTGCTCTCCTCACCCTGGAGGGTTATGTACGAGCACGCTGCTTCCCAGTCGGGCACTGGTGTCCCCCTTTCGGTCTGAGAGCTGGGTGCTACGCCCCTTCTAGCTATGCATGAGTGAATGCTCCGGAGTCTGTTCTGTGACTTCTATGGTTGAGTTGGCGATACTCCCCTCACATGGAGGGTTTTTCTATGAGATATGCCTTTCAATCCACATGTGTTCTGAGCATGCGGCCTCCCACTGAATTAATTGCCACTCCCTGAGCATGCCACAGTCATATAGTATTCCCAGGCCTGTCTAAAGTGACAGTTTTGGTTACCCCTTAGTAACGGTGTTTCTAAATCCATGCTATGGTAAGTGCACACGCTGAGCTTCTGTGCACTTTCTAAAATCCCCATTGTGGTATGTGTGCACGCTAGGGCATTCTGCGCACTTTCTAACATCCTGTATGTTAAGGGTTATGCGCTGTCAGCCTCGTTTCCTTTCTCTGAGTTGGTTAGGCCCCGGTTTTCACCTTGGGCTCCACTCAACCTATATATCCCTGTTGTTACATTTCTGAGCAGTGTGTTGCTACCAAAGATCTGTCGAGTCAGTTCTTTGAGCAAGCTCATTCAAAGCCGGCAGTAGCCCCCCTGGGTGACAGGCCAGGGTCTGGTCTTTAGACCTCAAAGGAATCTCTTTTTTTCTGATTCCAAGCCTTTGAGCTCTGCCCTAGGCTCGGGCTTCCCAGCCCAGCGATATGGTAGAGTTGGTACTTAGTGCTCGCCATGGTTCTGGCATGCACTCCCCTCAGCATGGCGGCATGGGTATACTGTTCCCCATAGCGGCCCCTAGAGGACGCAGTT